AAAAAGCCTGGAAACCGGGCGCCTGGGTGGCTCAGTTGGTTAAGCGACTGCCTTTGGCTCAGGTCACGATCCTGGAGTCCCGAGATCGAGTCCCGCATCGGGCTCCCTGCTCAGCAGGGAGTCTGCTTCTCCCTCTGACCCTCTTCCCTCTCGTGCTCTCTATCTCTCATTCTCTCTCTCTCAAATAAATAAATAAAATCTTAAAAAAAAAAAAAAAAGCCTGGAAACCATTCTGGACTTCCCACTCACCCAATTCCCCCAATTAATTCATCACCAAAAACTGTCTACTATCTCTAGAACCGGATTCTTTTTTCCACTCCCACTGCACCAAATCAAACTTTTTCATCTCTAGACTATCAAGTACACAACTGAGCTATTTTGCTTTGATGTAACCAGGACTATTTAATGGATTTTAGATAGATTATGACCAAGCATGACAGGTAGGAGAAAGCAAAGTGAAGAACAGGATATCTGAAGGAAAGAAAAATGTATTTTATCTTTACTTTCTTTCCTCCTATTCAAGGCACGCTTACTTCAAGGTCCAGCTCAAATATTATCTCCACTTTTGAAGTCTTTCACAGTTCTTGCAATTAAAGTACTTTTTTCTTCTTTATACATAGCTCCATTAGAACACTTTCTGTAGTGAGTATTTTTTCCACATACCAGTTGCCCAGCTGAACAGAAGTCTAGTCTTATTTTTTTATTAAAGATTTTTATTTATTTATTTGAGAGAGAGAGAATGAGAGACAGCACAAGCAGGGCAAGGGGCAGAGCAAGAAGCAGACTTCCCACTGAGCAGGGAGCCCGACAGGTTTGATCCCAGGACCCGGGACCATGACCTGAGCCAGAGGCCGACGCTCAACCAACTAAGCCACCCAGGCAACTCCAAGTCTAGTCTTATTCTAACACAGGACCTAGCATTAAAAACATCTGTTAAACAGATGAATGAACAACAACTTTTAGTCTAGAATTTGCAATTATAAAGAAAACCTAAGTTTGAACAAAGGTAAGGGTGTAAATTATAAAAGAAATCTAAGTTATTTAATTACCAATGGTAGATTAAAATACTAAACCAAAGACCCAAGGGGAAAAAAATAAAGACCAAACACATGAGGAATTTCTCCCTAGACAAGGGTAGAGAGATATGGATACTAGCTAATAAAAATATTTAATAGGGAAACAGATTTAGAATTTCATAGAGAAATGTGGAGTAGAAAAAGGGCTAACCCCAAATAGTCCTTAAAAATAAAACATGTTCCCTCAGATAGGAATACTCAACTAGAAACAAATTGTGTTCATAAAACACTCATGAAATGCAGACTGTTTTAATTAAGGAGACAATGTAAAAGATATCATCAGTCCCTCTAATTCCATCCCCACAAAGATACTCTAATATGTAGAACTGAATCATTAGAAAAATTGGTTCAAGGGGACCTCTCAAAAACCAGCAAAATGTGTATTAATAGAAGGAATAAAGTTATTAAAATTAAACTCAACACACTGAACAAGTGAGGTTTTAACTCTTCTTAATAAATTCTACATTTTACAGACCTATGGACTATTAAAAAAAATGAAGAGCCTAAAAAAGCAATTTTTTATAAGCTGGTACAGCTCTATGCTTGAGGGAAAACATAAAATATTTAAGATAATGCCTGCTTTATGTATATTTCATTGTAAAATAAATGGCTTTACTCACTGTAAAATGGCTCAGTTATTCATACTTTGGCCAGTTCCTAATCATCCAAGGTAATACTAAAGTGTGGACTCTGAAGCTTTTTTGGGTCACAGACCCCTCTGAGTCTCCAATGAAAGCTACAGTCCTGTCCCACAGAAGAATATGCATACATATATATCTTTTCATTTTTTTTAAGTAGGCTCCACGCCCAGTGGCAGGCCCAATAAGAGGCTCAAACACACAACTGTAAGATCAAGACCTGAGCTGAGATCAAGAGTGGGATGCTCAAGAGACTGAGCCACCCAGGCAACCCTATATCTAGCATTTTAAATATGTCATGCAGTCACAGAGCCTCTGCTGTCTACTTATGACTTCCTAGAGATTCAAAGAACTCAGCTGTAGAACTGAGACCTTAAAGATTAGAAATGGCAAATGACATAATACTCCTCCGAAAAGCAAATAAACTGTTAATTACAACTCTACAGAGCTTTCTTCTCGGTCATCGAGGCAATCAAAAAACACCGAACATAAAAATCTCTACTGGCTGAAGTTCATCAAATGATATACACACAGATGAGCTAAAAATGCATGCACATGCCTTAATAAACTTGAAACCTTAAGTGTTTAAAAATAAGATCTAATATAGGGGCACCTAGCTGGCTTAGTCACTAGAGCATGCAACACTTGATCTTGGGGTCATGAGTTCAAGCCCCACATTGGGCCTGGAGCTTACTTAAAAAAATAAACACACATATACACATACGTGTACATATATCCATATATCCATATATCTTAAAAAATAAGATCTGAAATTAATAACAGTAATAATAATAGTTACTGAGCATTATGTAGAGTACTGTTCTAAGTGTTTTAAAAATTACTATTTATACATAAATGTAAATAATTATTATTACATTTCACAAGTAAGGAAAATTAAAGCACAGAAAGGTACAAGGAGAGCCAAGGAACAATGACATAAAACAGAAATTACAGAGATTAAGAAGCAAACAATTCCTTATAATGTGCAGCATCTAACAGCAACTTAGATCTGCATTTGTATTACCAGAGTTCTACAAAAAAGAACATATTGTCCAAACTCCAGAAAAAGGATGGCCATCTTGATCCTCTTCCACATCCCTGCCAAGATAATCCTTGTAATACCATATTCACTTTGGAGTACACTGTAACCAGAAATGTGAACACAAAATGTTCAAAAAGAGCACAATACTAACTAAAGGATTTATAAGATTAAAAATGGAAGATGAATTTTGGTAGAAACCTTACCTTTCTAAATCACTCCTTTGTATAATAAACCACGCGCTGGAAAAACCAGCAACTTAGTAAAATGAAAAAAAAACTGAAATAAGGTACCTTTCTCTGCAAAGGTAGTTCAAACTTTGTTCAAGGCTCTGCCTCCTGTTTACTGTCTTGGTGCCATATGCCTCTTCTCCACGGACAACCACAAAAGTAGAGAAAACCTCACAGGTTCAATAGGTCTTACTGAATATTACCAATCACAAGACAAATTTGAATCCTTGGATACACCTATGCTATGCCCTGCATAATGTGGCATACACTAAATATTTTTTGAATAGTTGAATCCTCTCCAAGAGAAAATGCATGTGTTCAACTTCTTCTACCTCCCATAATACACTACAAATTATTGTAGCATCAGGATAATGCAATTAAACAAAACTGTTACCTTAAACCACATGATAGAAAAGTTGTAATTTACGATTTTGGTTTTTTATTTTATTTTATTTTTTCAAAGATTTTATTTATTTATTTGACAGGGAGAGCTACAGCAAGAGAGGGAACACAAGCAGGGCGAATGGGAGAGGGAGAAGCAGGCTCCCTGCAGAGCAGGGAGCCCGATGTGGGGCTTGATCCCAGGACCCTGGGATCATGACCTGAGCCGAAGGCAGACGCTTAACGACTGAGCCACCCAGGCGCCCCACGATTTTGGTTTTTTTAAAAGATTTATTTTATACAGAGAAAAAGAGAGAGCAGAGGAAGGGGCAGAGGGAGAGAAACCCCACCACCACCAATGTGGGGCTCCATCTCACAACTCTTGAGATCATGACCTGAGCCAAAATTAGGAGTGTGATGTTCAAACAACTGAGCCACCCAGGCGCCCCTATAATTTACCATTTTGTTACATTCTATGTCCAAGGGGTGGGGGGGAAACCGATTTATTTTTTAGATCAGTTTTTACAGCTACTGGTAATCTAAGACACCACAAAAGATTTTATCTGAACACATATTTTTTAAAACAGTAACATTCTTAACATACTATAATTTCTTACAGCTTTCTTTGTAATGTTTAATGAAGATTCAAAATCACAAATCATTTTCTTTAGACAACGAATAAACTTAAAAAAAATTTTTTTATGCTTATTTATTTATTTGACACAGAGAAAAGAGAGAGACAGACAGAGCAAGCACAAGCAGGGGGAATGGCAGGCAGGAGAGAAGCAGGCTCCCCGCTGAACAAGGAGCCCAATGCGGGGCTCCAGCACAGGACCCTGGGATCATGACCCAAGCCAAAGGCAGCCGCTTAACCGACTGAGCCACCCAGGCACCCCTAAGCTTTTTAAATTAGATATGAGAAATTAGCTCCATTAAAATGAGTAGCCCTGCTGCGTTAATAGTAATATTCTAAATTCAGGTAAGGTTAAAAATCAAGTAACAATGAAAATAAACATAGATGTACACTGCAAAAAAGCTTCCTCTGTATTTAATTCACAAACTAAAATACCTGCTCCTGATTTATTGAACTGGTAAAATATCTGAGAGCAAACACACAAAATTTACAAACTATACTTAACACAGAGCTTCTTGGAAGTCAAAACCAAAATACATTACAGTTCATCTCTCTGCACTAAAAATGCCCTCTTAGTATCAAAACCCACAAAAGCAAAAATTCAGACTAAAATATTCCCTAATATTAAGCAGTATTCTTTTTTTAAGCACAACTTATAACTGCTAAATATCAGTTTACCAAAACAGGCAAGTATGGCCTTATCTTGGCAAAACTCACATTAGTGTTTCTTCAACATCCTAGAAGACAGCTTGATGCACCACACTCTTCCATCTGCTTTGTTCTATTTCTTCATGCCCCAAATGGAAACTAAACCCTTCGAGTAACAGCCAAAATTTCATTAATCACAGGAAAGTACTTAGAGAAATAAGTAGCATGCTATGAATAGAGGTAGACAGAACAACAGGTAGAGCAACCTTGGTAATGACCTCAAAATATATGTTGAGACAGAAGATCTATACAACAGGTATGGGAATCATATTAAATAATTCTATTCCCACTTACCTGATGAGCTCTCAGTAAAGACTGTTAATGTCTGTCCTCCAACACTTTGTAAGACAAATGGATGTTCTCTAGGAGTGCTGACTGAAGCTGGTTTTCCACCAATATCGTGAATATTTGCAAGATCCTCATTCAAAGTAAATGACACCTAACAGACACATTAACAAGAGCTTATTACAACAGACTTATGTATTCAAAGTATCTTTCACAGAAATTCTGATTAAATCAAATACTTCTTTAAATATGTGAATCTTCGTTTCTAGACATTTTATTAAACATTTATCTAAAACCTTATTTAAAAAAATCCTTAATACTTAGTCATAAAAGGAGAATCTGGGGCGCCTGGGTAGAGTCAGTTAAGCATCTAACTCTTGGTTTGGGCTCAGGTCGTGATCTCAGGGTTGTGAGATCAAGCTCCACATCAGGCTCTGCACTCAGCGTAGAGTCTGCTTAAGACTCTCTCTGCCCCTCCTGACCCCAAATAAAATAAATCTTAAAAAAAGAGAGAGAACATATTCCCATTTGTCAGAATAATGGGACTAATCTACCATTATAGATAGGTGACAGCTTTCAAATGTTTTCTCTGGTTTATGGCTGAAGAAATTCTATTTCCAAAACAAATAATTTTTTTCCCCCTAAGGTCTGTGAATTCAAGAGATCATGTCTTGTTACATTTATATCCTTATGAATACATATACTTAAATATATATTTAAATATATAACAAATACAAATAAATATACAGCAAAATGCCTGGCACATAGAAGGAAAATAGTATTTGCTGAATAAGTGAGTATTTTAAGAGTATTAAGAAAGCAATTGTACGGGCGCCTGCGTGGCTCAGTTGGTTAAGCGACTGCCTTTGGCTCAGGTCATGATCCTGGAGTCCCAGGATCGAGTCCCGCATCGGGCTCCCTGCTAAGCAGGGAGTCTGCTTCTCCCTCTGACCCTCCCCCCCCTCATGCTCTCTCTCTCTCTCATTCTCTCTCTCAAATAAATAAATAAAATCTTTAAAAAAAATTAAAAAAAAGAAAGCAATTGTACTTAAAGGGGGAAAAAGTGAGCTATTAACTAAGAATGCTTAAACACTCCCATAAGCAGAAAATAGATTTCTTTTTTTAGGTTTTAATGACTACTGTAAGAGTACATGGTGCTGTTTCATTTTTGAATATTTTAACAAATACAACTAAATATTTATTTATTAAAGATTTTATTTACTTATTTGACAGAGAGACACATAGCGAGAGAGGGAACACAAGCAGGAGGAGTGGAAGAGGGAGAAGCAGGCTTCCCGCGGAGCAGGGAGCCCGATGCAGGGCTCAATCCCAGGACTCTGGGATCATGACCTGAGCCGAAGGCAGACGCCTAACCGACTGAGCCACCCAGGCGCCCCACAACTAAATATTTATAAAGATAACGTATCATTGAGGTTTAGAACAAAAACACATACCAGCAGTTGTTCTTTCAAAAGGATTGTTACTATATACTAGATCTCCCTAAAGGAACATCACATTTTACATCAAAAGATTTATAAACATAAAATACTAACCTCCCAACCACACAGGAAAGATTATGAAGCCTTTGTTAAATATTTCTCTACCATGTGATAGGTACCACAATTATGTCCTGGACTTAATGGGTCAAAACCTAAAGCCCTGAAAAATCCAGACCAAATGCCTTTGCCACACTGAAATAATATTAAAGTATTACTGAAGCGACAGTAAGCCTCAGTACTGAGGGGATAGTTTGGGTCAAAGCAGAAAAATGCTAAGAATGAACAACTAAAAAGGAGTCCATTCATTCACACAAAAGTGGCATTTATGCTGTTATGTGCTCCTCACCATCAGCCACTAGTTTGATGTGGAGTCTTCCAGAATGCAAACACTGCCTTCTCTTTACTATTACTAATACACAGTAAAATAATCTCACGTTTTAAATAAAATTTTCATAGAAATAATCTTACCTCAGTCCTTCCTTGATTCCTACAAAAGAAAGGAAAAATTTTTATTTAGATTTCATGTTTTCTTCAGATGTACACTAAGAACTAAAAGAAATAACACTACATCATATTTACATAAAATAAGACATTTACATAGATCAACTAATATTTACCCTTGGCTCTCCGCAACTAACCTACTTATAAATCATATAGTAAAAAAAAAAGTCACTTTAATCCCATGTGTCGATATTATGAGTTTGTATCACTTAACACTATTACAACCTGCCTAATATTTTAACCAAGTAATGATCTCATTACAATTCTTATCTTTATTTCTACACGCTACGCAATAGCCTAATTTAAAAAAAATATATTACGTATCTACTATAAGCAAAGTACTGAGTGTAAGATCTCTGTCCTCAGCCAGAAGATATAAAAATTACATCCATAATGATAAGAGATACATTTTAACTAATTTTAAATTAAGAGAGCCCAGTGGGGAGGCGCCTGGGTGGCTCAGTCGTTAAGCGTCTGCCTTCAGCTCAGGTCATGATCCCAGGGTCCTGGAATCGAGCCCCACATCGGGCTCCCTGCTCAGTGGGGAGCCTGCTTCTCCCTCTCCCACTCCCCCTGCTTGCGTTCCCTCTCTTGCTGTGTCTCTGTCAAATAAATAAATATATATATTTAAAAAAAAAAGAGAGAGAGAAAGAGCCCAATGTGCCAGGATCAGACAGGACCCCACTTTTTCCATTTTCAGAGTTGAGAGAAAACCTGAGGTAAGTCTTGAAGGATACTGGGATCTCAACAGGCTGAGACAGGAATATAATATCAGAAGTATCAGCTGAGCAAAGTCACAAGGAGTCTGATCATGAAAATGTAGTCATATTTGGCTGGGAGAATACAAACTAAGGAATAGTGGGAGATAACTAGAAAGGAGAACTGAAGCTAGACCATGGAGTATCTTGAATATCATAGTACAGATCATGGACTTACTAATTCTCAAGGAATGGAGAGCCACAAGTCTCATTTGAAAAAAAATAAAGTACAAAACATGCTCCTAGAAACTTGCACCAGAAAATATATATAAAATGGATATGAAGACCAGTTAGAATACTAATGTTTCTCCATAACACCAGGCTGAGTTCCAACCTGCCTTCATTCAGTGGCTCAACCACTCATTCTGTCATTAAGTGTCTACATCTATTAGGCCTTGTGCCAAGTGCATGGTATAGTATGAACATAGGTCTTTATGCTCAAGAAGGTCCTAGTTTAACGAAAAAAGATCCAATCCATATACAACATACACTGGATAACTTTATGACAGAGGTACAACATACTGTCATAAAAATGCAGATGAGAAAGCTAGCAAGGATTAATTGAATGAGGGATGAGGTCAACAACATGGAGGCATTACAGGTTAAGAGAACACACAAGCAGGGGGAGCAGCGGCAGGCAGAGGGAGAAGCAGGCTCCCTGCTGAGCAAGGAAAGTGATGTGGGGCTTGATCCCAGGACTCTGGCACCATGACCTGAGTTGAAGGCAGACGCTTAATCGACTGAGCCACCCAGGCATCCCTAGCACATTCTTTCTAACATCAGTGAATGGCAGGCAGGAGTCAAGTGGTAAAGAGCCTCTTAGGCCAGACTAAGGAGTCCAGAATCTTAAACAGAATTGTTCCCGGCAGGACTTCTCAGTCTTTCACTTATTAAAATGCAATGCTGATTCTCTCTTTGTTGGGGAAGTACCTAGAACAGAAGTGAAGAAATTCTAAGATTTCCTATAAAAATATGCATTTCCAGCTTCTCTCAAAAGACTGGAAGATTTGGCAGCAATGCCCTCCCCTACCCCCTAATTCAGCATGACAACAATCCCTTTGACATGCACAGTCAGGCAATGAATTCACCGCAGTCCCTTCCCTATCACTCCTGGACCTGGTTTCTAGAGGCATTTAGTTTAGCTAACTTTCCCCAAACATAGGTGCTGCAGTCAAAACAAAGGCGAAGATGCAGAGAAGGTACTTCCAGAACATTTACTGAATTGGAATGAGGCTAATGCAAAAACCCACATAAAAAGTAATGAAGGCTTGAACCTGGTACTGGTAGAATGGAAGGAGGACTGTGTGGCAGGGTATCTGAGCTGTCAGAACGGACAGAAGCGGAAATGACTGCAAGGAGGCAGCAAGGGGGAAAGGACTGTTTAAAGATCATGCTGACATTTCCAGTCTGGGGGACTTGAAAATCACCCAGATGCAATTAGGGAACACAGGAGGGGATGACAACTTTATTTTCATGTATTTATTTATAACATCATCTTAGCTGGAATGATGAGATTGACAAACTCTGGATGAGTTCATTTTCCAGAATAAAAACTAGTCCTTGAACACTTAAGACTTATTTTAAAAGGATTACATATTCTTTTGTTTGGTGTATAAAAATGTATTAAGTATACATGACTTTTTGTTGTTCAATATTACCAATAAAATACATCCTCTCCATGATGACCTGTGGTTAAAATTATAAACATCAACTATTGTAAAACACAGTAATATCTTCAGAAATGAATGAAGCAAACATGTAGCTCATCCTTTCACTGAATGCCTCATAAGGCTGTGCCGTTAGTTTCTCCTTCATTACTCTGGGTCCATTTCTCAATACCCCACAGCTATTTCTTTAGACTCCAGCCCATTCCTCTTGCCTTTTTAAAAAATTAATCATTTGTCTTTCCTTTTTGTTATTTTTAAATACTTTAGATTTGACACCAATGGCAGGAGACTTTTCACTAATCACTGATCACCAATAAAACACCTCTTTTTCCAAGGTAAGAAAATCAACCAAATAATATGAAGTCTTTTAACTGTGTTCCAGGATTTTTTTTTAATTTTTTATTTAAATTCAATTTAATTAACATACACTGTATTATTAGTTTCAGAGATAGAATTCACTGATTCATCAGTTGCATACAATACCCAGTGCTTATTACTTCAAGTGTCATTTTTTTTTCTTAAGTTTTATTTAAGTACTTTTATACCCAATGTGGGGCTAGAACTCACAACCCCTGAGATCAAAAGTCACATGTTCTTCCATCTGAGCCAGCCAGGCATCCCTGGATTTGTTTGTGTTTTGTTTTTAATTCCTACTCATTCATCCGCTTTTTGAACAATTCAGCTCAAAAATCATTAGGTGAAGGCAAGCAAGGTAGGTATCTGCAGAATGGGTCGAGTAAGGTAAGCACAGCCCAAATGGCATGGAAAGCAAGTACCTGGGGCAGAAGGGGTAGCCTGGGGCAAGGTGTCTGAGCCCAGGAGGGTAAGGAGGGCATCCCCACAAAGGAATGGCTCAACAAGAACTGTGTTAGAACGAGCAGGGTCAGGACATCCACATGGGAAGAAAACCTGAAGCATGCTGTTGGGAGTCCTAGAGGGGTAAGTAGGCATGCGTATGAGGACTGGAGGGGATGACAATCTGAATGTGCTGAGGAGAGCATCCCTGTGGAGGACTGCAAAAGGCAGCAGCCTAATGGGGGCTGCTATAGCCCAAGCCAGGTGAGGAGGGTGTTCATACACTTGTGGGGAAGAGGGGGGTCTAACCAAATAAGAACAGAGGCCCGAACAAATAAGTGTATATTAAATATAACAGGAACCAGGTTCTTCACTTTCAGAAAAGAGGTCCAAACATTAAAAAGGGAGAAAACTGGAAACATTCAGGGGTGTTGGACTAGAATTGGATGTTGGTGTAAATTTATTATTTTCAAAATATATAAATATACAAATTAATATAGATGTAAATGTGTATGTATACATATACTCCCTAACTCTGCCCCTGGAAAGGGTCTGGGAGCAACAATGAGCACTTGTGGTATCCAGATCTTAGTTTCTAAATATTATTCTCCTCTAGAAAGAAGTCGGATCCATAGAAAAATGCGTAACTTCAGGCTCAGAAAGAAATATACAAGATGAGTCTAAACCTTTTTTCTATGACAAAAAGCAAGTGCTCAAAGAATGGCAAAGACAGGTCAGAAGGCCACAGGACTTACACTACTGAACTGTACACTGAGAAAAGGGTTAAGATGGTAAATTTTATACGTGTTTTTACCACAATAAAGAAAAAAAGGGGCAGGGGAACCAGCTTAGGAGAAGGTTCCAATGTCTATATTTTGGACAATTTGAACATCAGAATAAATGATGATAGTAACAAATTGTGACCCATTAACTAAAACTGGAATCCGTGAATTCATACTAACAAAAATAATAAAGTGGAAAATTTGATGAGGAATGGAATATATATATATATATATATTTTTTTTTAAAGATTTTATTTATTTATTTGAGAGAGAGAATGAGAGATAGAGAGCACGAGAGGGAAGAGGGTCAGAGGGAGAAGCAGACTCCCCGCTGAGCAGGGAGCCCGATGTGGGACTCGATCCCGGGACTCCAGGATCATGACCTGAGCCGAAGGCAGTCGCTTAACCAACTGAGCCACCCAGGCGCCCCTGGAATATATATTTTTTTAATATTTTATTTATTTGACAGAGAGAGACACAGTGAGAGAGGGAACACAAGCAGGAGGAGTGGGAGAGGGAGAAGCAAGCCTCCCGTGGAGCAGGGAGCCTGATGTGGGGCCCGATCCCAGGACTCTGGGATCATGACCTGAGCCAAAGGCAGATGCTTTACATCTGAGCCACTTAGGTGCCCCCAAGGAATGGAATATTTACACAGTCTCAAAGTACTGCCTGACAGAATACTTATTAATTACAAAGAAGAAAAGAGTAAATTTACAGTGAAAAAGCATAGAAGACTCTCCTTAATCAAGTAATCAAAGTTACCACCAGTAATGGGACAAAATGAAAAGATGCAAACCTTACTAGAATACAGTAGGAACCCAGCTTCACCTTCATTGATATTCTTGCCAAAGATGCATAACTCTATTCTAATCATGAAGAAACATCAAACTCAAATTTCCATAAAATAATGGAGAGTGTTGATACTTACACAGTATACAAGTCAAGGAAAGACTTCCAAATGTTCTAGATTTAAGGAAACTAAGA